AAAAAAAAAAAAAAAACCAAACAGAATCCATACATCTCACCATGTACAAAAACTAACTCAAGATGGATCAAAGACCTAAGTGTAAAGCCTAAAACTATAAAAATCATGGAAGAAAAAATAGGGGCAAACTTCAGGCCCTAATTTATGGCATAAATAGTCAAAATTCACCAACAGTAGAAGATAAACCAGATGACAAGGACTTTCTAAAAATTAAACATTTACACATATCAAAAAACTTTTCCAAAAGACTAAAAAGAGAACCTATAGACTGGAGAAAAAAGTCTTGTATCAACACATTTGACAAGGGACTAACTCTAAAATTTATAGAAAACTTCAACACCTCAACAACAAAAAGACAATCCAATTAAAAAATGAGCAAAGGTCATGAATAGACACTTCACCAAAGAATACATTCAGGTGGCCAACAAACACATGAAGAAATGCCTGTGACCATTAGGCATCAGAGAGATGCAAATCAAATCAACAACGAGATATCCTCTCACCCCAGCCATAATACCATTGATTTAAAAAACAGAACAAATGCTGGAGAGGGTGAGGGAACTGGAAGGCTCATATACTGCTGGCAGGACTACAAAATGGTGCAACCATTATGGGACCTAGTAGGGCATTTCCTTAACAAGTTAGAAATAGAGAGAAACAGAGATACCATATGCTCCAGCAATCTCACTAGCACATATTCCACAGAAGTTAAGAGCTGTGACAGAGGCAGGTCTATAGCACTTTGTATTCCATTTATGGCAAGTATGATTATTGTTTCCAAACATGTCCATTACCTTCAAAACACATCCCAAATCCAACTGCTTCTTACCACTGAGTGCTTCCACTCTGGTCCAACCCACTGCCATCTTTTACCTGATTCCAACCAAATCCTTCTAACTGGTCTTGCTGTTTTGACCCTGGTCTCCCACTCCCATCCCAGTCTGTTCTTGAATGACAGGTAGCACAGCCTGAGTGTAAAACCTAAGGATGACCATGCCATTTTATTCTTCAAGCCCTTCTCACCCAGAGGAAAAGCCAGTCTTTATAATGGCTTACCAGCTGCTGCTGAGTCACTTTCAACTCACGGTGACCCCATGTGTGTGCTCCACAGGGCTTTCAATGGCTGATCTGTTTGGGGAAGGAGCTTGCCAGGGCTTCCCACCAAGGTGCGTCTGGGTGGACCTGAACCCCTCATCAGTTGGCAGCTGAGTGTATCAGCCGTTTGTACCACCTTGGGATCCGTATGACGACCTACACTCGTTGCAGTCAAGTCAATTCCGACTCACAACACTCCTACAAAACAGAGCAGAACTGCCCCACTGAGTGTCCAAGGCTGTAAATCTTTATGGAAGCAGACTGCCACTTCCTTCTCAAAGAGCAGCTGGTGGGTTCAAACCTCTGGCCTTTCAGTTAGCAGCTTAGCACTTAACCACTGCACTGCAAAGGTTCCCTACAGGGCTCAAGATAATCTGCACCTGCCTCCCCATCTAATCCTCTCACTTCTGCTTCTACTCCTCCTTCCCTCACTCACTTCCCATGGCCCTTGGACATACCTCCTTCCCTCACTCACTTCCCATGGCCCTTGAACACACTATGCACGTTCCTGCCACAGGGCCGTGCCCTTGTTCTCCCACAGATTCACAGGCCTTGCTGCCAGCTTCTCCAGTCTCCTGAGATGTCACCCCACAGAGGTTTCCCTTTGCCACCCTTTATAAAAATAGCAAACCTCTTCCTCCTCCATCTCCTTTACCCTACTTCATTTTTCCCCATAACACTTAACACTAGCTGGCATTTTATGTGCTTGATTTCTGTCTGTGTCCCCTCCCCTCACTGAATTTTAAGCTCTCTGAGGGAAGGGAATGAGCAGCTCATTGCTGCATCCCTAGCACCTAGAACAATCTCTGGCACACAGCAGACCTAGAAACCAAACGCATCACCATCAAATTGATTCCGATTCCTGACAACCCCACGTGTTACAGAGTAGGTCAGCTCCACAGGGCATTCTGGGCTGTTACCTTTATGGAAGCAGTTTGTCAGGCCTCTCTTCCACAGCAATGCCATGTGGGATCAAACCACCCACACTTAGGTTAGAAATCGAGTACAACCTGTTGGTACCACCAGCCCTTGGCACAGAACAGATAATCAATAAGATTTGCTGAATTAACGGATGGACCTCTGTGGTGGTTAAGTTTGGGTGTCAACTTGGCTGGGCCTAGCTGATTGGCTGGGCAGCTAGATGTAGTATTCCCCATGATGAGACTGGCAATCAACTCCATGGTGGAATCTAGGAGCAGCTGAGTAGCTGCCCTAAGGATGTGGTCTGTTTCTAGTATATAAAGAGAAGCCTTGGGGAATGGTCTCTAGCTTATGCTACACTTGGACTCTGCATGTAGCCGTGTCATTGTCCAGCAGCTGACATGCTCTGCTGACCTTGGGCCTTAAACGGACTTCAATTAATGGCCTGCGTGTAGTTTGGTAACATCGGGAACTGTGCCATTTTATTTGTCCACTTTGGGCTTGTCAGCCTCAGCAGCCAGTAGTTGCTGAGTGAAGAGATGCCTCTGGCTTCTGTGGGCCAGGAGCAAGAGGCAGAGTTGAAGCCCAAGGTCGAGGGCTGGCACTTTGAACTGCGGCTTGTAGCCTCCTGAACTGTAAGAGAATAAGCTCCTGTTTGCTCAAGCCTCCCTTCTGTGGTATGTTTTCTGTCAGAGCAGCACTTGGGACCAGAACCACCTTTCACTTCAGAACGAATGCTCCTGGAGCCTTCTGCGGATCTTCTCCACATCTCTCACATCACCAACTGCAGTGGTTTAATTTAAGACACCCTTGGCAATGAACCAAGAGCAAGGGAACCGAGGTTACTAAGGATGTCTGGGACACGGCTATAAAGAATGATGGGCTATGACAAGCCAAGCATGTACATCTCCTGCAGAACACACTGGCTCCAAACGGGAAAGGTGGCTATGGGACGCGCAACCAGATCTTTGTCCAAACGCCTGTCCTGAGTGAGTACTTCTAAGGCGCTCATGAAGCAGCCACCAGGACACTGAATAGTTAATTTCTTAAAGTGCACGTTTTAATTCACTATCCTTAATTCAGCAGCTCGCACATAACATACAAGGAGCCCTAGGAAAGCAGTGGTCCTTCGTGTCTAACTCACAGGTCAGCAGCTGCTCCGCGGAAGGAAAATGTGGCAGCTGGCTTCCGTAAAGGCTGCAGCCCTGGCAACCATAGGGGCAGACCCACTCTGCTCCGCGGGGGCGCTGTGAGTCGGGACGGACTCCACGGCCACGAGGTATGTAGCACACTGCCCATAACACGCATCATCATCCCTGGAGATGAGCTGGCTAGCGATGCGCTCACATTGGGCAGGGGAGGAACGTACGGTTCACAGAGAACAGTGGCCGGTTCACGGAGGCGCGGCTCAACGGCGCCAGCGCCACGACTCTAACCCGGGACGCGGGCTCTCAGGCCCGAACGCCCGCACCCTGGCCTTTCGGGACTAACTTAAGAGCCAGTTCCGCCCCAGCAGGAGTCGCCTCCTAAGAGGCAGAAACACGATGGCGCCGGTTCCCAGAACACAGCAAGCACTTCGCGGCGTTCCCCAGGGTCGGCAGGCTTGGCCATTTATCGGAGCAAAGCAGTGTGCCCACCGATGCCGCGTAAGCCCAAGTTTCCTGGTCGCTGATGTAAGCCACCCGGGAGGAAGGCAGGCAGGAAGGTGGAAACGGCAAATCGTTAGACAACGAAGATGAAGCTCGGAAAACAATACCTGAAGGAGGCGAGGAACCGAGAACTTGCTGACAGTGGGCACCGGGCAATATGCGAGGGCCCGACTGCTCCACAGGGCCAGCGGCGCCTGAAGCGTGTCTCTGGGGCTCAGGCTCTGAAGTGACCGAGACGGCCCAGGCCCGAACCGCCCCCAGCCCCCTCAGCCCCAGCGCGGGGCTCCTGCCGCCGCTCCGGGCCCGCTTGCTGCACCCCCCCAGCCCTCACGCCTGCCCCCGAGACCCTGTCGCTGCCACCCTGTCGCTGCCACCCGAAACCGACCCAGCGGCTCACCCGCGCTTCCCTCCGGAGGCGTCCGCAGCCAACATGCGGCGCCGCCTCCACACATCCCGGCTAGCCCCGCCCCGACGCCGGAACCGCTCCTGTTGGGCCCTCCTCCCTGCCTCGGCTGCTCCACTGTACTTCCGCCAGCGGTGCGTTATTTCCGTCAGCGCCGGCCGCGCGCGGCGAGACGGGGTCTCGCGAGCGCGCCGGCAGCGTCCGAGAGCCGGGAGCGCGCCCTCGGATGACAACAAATTGGGCGCTCGGCGGCGGTGGAGGTGTGTGCCCCAGCCCGGCCCCAGCCCTGGCCGGCCGCTCCCTCGGGCCGTCTTGCACCCTCTGTGCGGACGACATCTCGGAAGCTCCCGCCCGGGGTGACGGCCCCTTGCTCCTTCCCCCGCCGGGCCTTCGGAAGCGGCGCGGCCCCGGCGATGGGACGGCTCTGAGGGGCGCCCGGCGCCCGGCGTTCATGGAGGAAGTGCCCCGGCTGTAGGCCCCGTGTGCGGCCTGGGTCGCCGGCCGGGACCCGAGGCGGCCGCCGCGAGGGTGGAGCCGCCGGAGCCCGCAGCCCCAGCCCGCCCAGCCGCCAGTCCTCATCATGCCTTGGCCATTTTCCGAGTCCATCAAGAAGAGGGCCTGTCGGTACCTCTTGCAGAGGTACCTGGGCCATTTCCTGCAGGAGAAGCTGAGCCTGGAGCAGCTCAGCCTGGACCTGTACCAGGGCACCGGCTCCCTCGCCCAGGTGCCCTTGGACAAATGGGTAAGAGCTGCCGGCCGCGAGTCGGCGCCCCAGGTCCCTCAGGGCCGCTTGTCAAGCGCGTGTCATCCGAGGTTGGTGACGCTCCGCCTAAGCGTCCAGGCGGGGCAGGGCGCAGCCACATGCTTTCTCCAGCGTTGGTTGGCGCTGTAGCCCCCGCACACACACGTGGTCCAGAAACTCAGCTGAGGAACGGCGTCCGCACTGACGGAGTCCCAGCCCAGCCTGGGCTCTGGGGTCCACGAAGCAGGATGCAGCGGGCCTGGCCCTGCGCGTGTGAGGGGCTGCTGGGTTCCATGGCAGGCAAACGCCGTTTCGTGGGGTGACATTCCGGGGAGATCTCGGGCCAAGAGAACCTTTGGCGGGTCGGGACCCCGCGCTGTGCCTTTCTTTCTCGTTCTGGGGCAGGCCGCCGGCACGCCGCGATATTAGGACTGCGTTCGCCGTCTGGCAGAAAGTTGGGTGCAGGCGCCCCTCCCGGCTGGCCCGCTTTGCCCCATGCTGTGTTTACAAGGCCACTGTGTGTTCGCCGAGCCCAGGAATGGGCAGGTGGCCCTGCCCGGCCGGGCTGTTCAGTTACAGTTCTGGGCTTCACGTGACAGGTCGTAAAGGCAGGTGTTGCAAAAGCGCCGAGGCTGCGGTCTCGAGACATTTCCAGACCCGTTTCCCAGTTGTCACCCGGAGGCCCCCAGTGGACTCATTGTGTCTGCCGGGTGCGCGTTGTACGTTTAAGCCCCACACAGGGTCCCTGCGTTCGCGCTTTCGGAGCAGAGGCTTTGAAAGCGTGTGCAGCCTTGCTCCCCTCCCCAGCCCTTTATTGTCGTGCTAGGGTTTGCCCTGTATGTTTGGACTGCTGGACCATCTACGGTGTTAATGTTCTACAAGCAGTCTGCACGTGCTTGACATTGAGCACCGCCATAAACGTAGGTGACTTTCCTGTGAGCCCTGCACAAGACCAAAACAAATATTTTTCTTGATTTTAGCTGTGATTTTTTTTTTTTCAGTTTCATGTGAAAATATTTTAACACAATACTAATGGCTTTGGTCATAGAAACCCGAAAGCTCTGCCCCTTAAATTTATTTCTGTTAGAAAGTATGACTGTTGTTGTTGTTATGTGCCGTCGAGTCGGCCCCAACTCATAGCGACCCCTCCTTGGGTTTCCGAGGCAGTATCTCTACGGAAGTAGGATTGCCCAACCTTCCTTCCGAGGAGTGGCTGGTGGATTTGAACCACCAGCCGTCTGGTTAGCAGGCAAGTGTCTTAGCCACTATGCTACCAGAGCTCCCAGAAAGTATGACTAAGCATACAGTTTTATCAGTAACTAAATGACTTAGCAGGAAAAAGATGAAGCAGTCCGCCTGGGTAAAGATGACAGCCTTGGAAACCCTGTGGGGCATTTCCACTCTCTCTTCTAGGGGTGCTGTATGTCGGAATTGATTGGACGGCAGTGGTTAAATGACTTAAACTAGGGGGAGTGCACATCCAGTGGAAAGAGCCCTACTTTGAGAATGAGGAAGACTCAGTGTGACAAGCACCGAGTAGCCCAGGCTGCCACACTGCACCGTGGGACACTTCAATTTAATTATTATGTACTGGACACAGTAATTCGCTTGGGGCAGTGAATGTTAGGGCCGTGTATGCTCCATGCCAGGCACTGTCAGGTGCAGTACCGCTGTAATTCTTACCAGAAGAGAGACAGGCCAGTGGGTCTCTCTGAGCTCAAAGCCCCATGCATCTACTTCTGGTGCATTTGTAACAGATTCTCTTGCAAGAGAAAGGCTGAATGTGTATTATGTGTCTTTTGAGGGTTGAGACACAGTCACATTACCTTTCAGTGACTTTCACGTTACCCTTCAGTGACTTTTCATACTAACCCTCAGGAGTATCATGATTTGCATTCTGCAGATGTGGTTCAATAATTAGTCCAAAGTCACACAGCCAGCAAATGGTTTCATGAGAATCCAGACCTGCCCAGTGCTAAGGCCATACTGTCTTCATTGGGTCACATGACATCAGCCTCAGGAGAAAGGAAACTGATGTTCATTGAGCCTCTATGGACATCAGGCACTGTGCCGGGTGCTTCCGTTTGTGGTGTTTTATGTAATCCTCACACAGGAGGTGTCATATCAGAATTGCATAGTGGAACCTCAAGGTCGTTGGGCAGAGTTACCTATAGAGAGGCTTTCTCTGCCGATTATGTTTTGTTCTACTCCTCAAAGAGGAGCCCAATGAAAATGATGATGTCAACTGAGGTGGAACACACCTGCTGGGTGTTTAGTAAGCATTTCTTTTTGCTAATTAATGAAAGTATATTATTGTCAATGACTAAAATAATCTGGATGTAATACTTAGGTAAGCTATCCAAAGGTTGGCTTGTAAATTCAGTAAATTTTGCACTTGAATTCAATGACTTTCATATTTGAACAGAGATACCTCACAAAGACACCTAGATGCAAATGGAAGAATTGCCTGGCTGGGGCATTGCTAATGTTTCCATTTGCATCCTCACTTACGCGAAAGATTTTGTTGAAAATGACTAGTACCTTCCCCTTTTCCTGATCACAGTCAGTTCTTCTCGCTAACTAACTGGAAGTTGTTCCATTTTTATTTGTATAAAACACTTGGCTTAAAACCCATTTTTTTCAGGCACTTTTTTCAAAAGTTCAAAAGTTCCAGATTGGTTGGGAAAGTCTTTCTCTCTCTCTCT